TATGATCCCTGTTAGTCCTGAGTATGAGGACTCATGGTATTGGATGGGTGACCCAAAGGGGACATATACAGTAAAGAATGCCTATAGGCATATTGTGGGTGAGTATGAGAATATTCCAGCGAGTTTTGATAAGGGGGTTGCAATGTGGAAAATAAAAGTCCCCCCTAAATGGAAAACTTTCTTGTGGAGAGCCATTGGTGACACTTTGCCAACAACCCTTAACTTGATATTAAAACGGGTGGAGGTCGACCCAACTTGCCCTATGTGTGGTTTAGATCAATGAAGATGTGTTGCATGCTTTAGTGCTCTGTGAATATTCTAAACTTGTTTGGAATATAACACAATTGTCTGTTATTAATATTGTTGCAGACTCGTTTACAACATGGATAAAAGGGGCTATGGCGGCATTGACGGAGGAGCAGACCCGGTTAATGATAGCAGTATTATATTATATTTGGAGAACCCGGAACTCAGCTGTCTGGAAGGGATCAATGATGCGGCCTATCCAATTGGTCAGAGTAGCCACCGTAGCGCAACAGGCGTACAGCGCTGCCCATGTTTGCCGAACCGAACCGGCACCGGCACCGGACCACTTGAACGGTCCAGGGGAGAGTGGTCTGCGATGTTATGTGGACGCAGGTTTCCGGCACGACACGGGCGAGGCTACTTACGGCATGATAGTTATAGCGTCAGATGGCTCGTTTGTGGCAGCAAGGAATGGCAAGTTACCGATTTGTTTTTCACCACTTATGGCGGAGGCCCAGGCATACAAGGAGGCTTTGTCCTGGCTACTTGAACGGGACAACACATCAGTAAGTTTACTCACGGATTGCATGGAATTGGCTACGATTATCAGGCACCATCACACGCTGATCCATTCGTACGTTGGGGTCACAGTTGACCAGTGCAGAACGTTTATGTCGTTGTTTAATCGTATTACTTTGGATTACATTTCTAGGCAGGTTAATTTACATGCGCATACTTTAGCTACGATAGCATTTACTCAGGATCAAGCTATGTACTGGGATGCTATCCCACCTGACGCTATTTCGGCTTTGATTCATTAATACAATCGCAAGATTGACCTTAAAAAAAAAAGATCAGAACAAAGCTTAATATTTCAATTATACTTTTGCATTATTGGTATGATTTAGGTCGTTATGGTATTAATACTTTTTGTATGTATTTTTATAATAGTAGAATTGTACATTACTTTACAAATTTTACACTATTATTTTTTTATCGGAAAAAATTGTTCTTACATCATTGTCAGATATGCGCGACCTAACTACAAAGTTGTTGATTATAAATATAATTACACCTGGAATCTAAAACGGTAAAACCATTTTTCAAAGAATTGACAATGTTGACATCCTATTGGCTCTAATTGAACAAGTTTACACATCAGAATTTTATCAATGCATGAAAACTTTTAAAAAATTTGTAAGTTAATTTTTACTATATCATTATAACAATATCTATTGTAACTATATATTTTGAATCATTTATTATCATCCTCTATTTACAAAAATTGTAATAATTGTCATTGAGAAACTCTCAAAACAATTTGTCTCAACAAGGAATGATTTTTTTTTTTTAAAAAATCATTGATTTCATTATTGTTGATGAAAAGTATATACCGCATTTTATTACTCTTATTAAATTAAATAAATTAGTAGCTACAGCAAAAAAAAAAAATACATATACATTTAATTAATTTAGAATTAGATATGCCACCAGTAACCTAATTGCACATGGCACACTATCAATAAAATAAAATAAAATAAAATAAAAAGAGAGATGACATGTACTGAAGATGAAAACATTGACAATGTTATCCAAAAGAGAATTAAGAAGAATTAGAGAAATTTAAACTAAAAGTAGTATTTATTTAGACTATCGCTTTAAGACTAAGCATTTAGACTAGCGTTATTACAAAGTTGCAAACATTTATTTTAGTGACAATTATAATCAATCTCTCATATATTATCTTCAATTTATATACTTTAAATTACCGATTTAAATAAACAAATTCAACATTTATTTACCTATGCATAAACATAAAAATAATCATTGGGCATTATCCGATTCGCGCAAAGCGCGTAAAAAAATTAGTTCATATATAAAAATCATGAGTTCGCAGTCACTATTTGATGATGAAAATTTCGTTATCTGTAGCCACTATTTAGATTATAAACTTTATTCTTTCGTAATAACCTACAAATTACACTAAAAAAATATTGTGCTACCAGCTTGGCCGAAAGTGTTTGTAAGAAAACAAATGCGTAATAGCCCGTAGAGTCGCAAACCACACTAAGAAGTCATTGTGCGATAAATTTATTCTTTATTACTTTAGTCTTTAGTGACAAAAAACACTTTTTGTCGATAAGATGTTGGCACAAATCAAACTCGTGATATTTAGGTACGAGAATCATAATTTGTCAATTGCCCCACCCTTTCTTGATAACAATATTGTACTTTGTTATTTGTTGTTACATCC